TTTGATTTCATCATTTCTTAGATTTGCCTTCACTACTTGATGTCGGGGTCTCTTTCCGCATCCATTTTGATCTTTTTTTCCTTCCTGCCCCGATCAGGATCGTTTGCTTTCTTCATGTATGATTTTCTTGATGTCCTCCCACAGCTCAACGAGTCTTCTGTCATTAGTGTTTCATGCATCACATCTGTTCATGGGATGTTTCCAAATTTGGTAGAATAGACTCCTTTTTTTTTTTTTTGGCTCTTGTAAACTTGTATTCATTTTCCTCAGCCTCAACTTGAACTTTCAGGTGAGCATTTGATGTTCTCTTCTACAATTTGCCCCTGGCCTGGTTTAAGCTGTTAGTATGGAGCTTCTCTGATTGTTTTCTGATGATTTTAGCCTTTGGGAATCCCTGGTGGTACAAGTAGGTAACCTGCTTGGCCAGTAGTGAGGTTGGAGGTCTGAGTTCACTCCGAGGATCTAGGAAGAAGGTCTCAATGGTCTAGAGCAGTGGTTCTCCACCTTCCTAACGCTGCGACTCTTTTATACAGTTCATGTGTTGTGGTGACCTCCCAACCATAACATTATTTTTGTTGTGACTTCATCACTGTCCCTTTCCTACTGTTATGAATTGGGCAACCTCTGTGAAAGGGTCGTTGGACCCCCCAAAGGGGTTGGGACCCACAGGTTGAGAACCACTGATCTAGAGAATCAGCCAAGGAAAACCTGACAAAGCTTAGTTCTACGGTGACAAGCTAACTCAACAGCAAATGGGAAACAAGAGTAGGACACAGAAAGACCTACCCATCTGTCTGGTAGAGGTGGCAAGCTACAGTCCAGGGTCTAGTCCATGGTGAGCCTGGCATCCCAAGCCTGCCTGAAACCCTCATCAAAGCAAACCTCCTGTGTCCGGGCACCAGGAAAATAGGAAAGCTTGAGGCTCTGCAATGATGACTGAAGGAGCTTTGAAAGACTCACATGTTAGAACCCACTGTCGATGTGTCTATCTGACTGATAGCCACCCTCTATAGCAGCGGTTCTCAACCTTCCTAGTGACACCACCCTCATGTTGTGGTGACCCCGTAGGTGGGCGTATCTGCATGGGAGCAGACCTGCCTAGAGATGGATAGAGGAGCGGTGTCTCGGTTCCTAACACCATCAGAAATATGGTCTTAGGTGACCCCTGTGAAAGGGTTGTTCGACTGCCCCAAAGGGTCATGTCCCCCAGTTTGAGAACTGCTAATCTATAGTTTCTGAGGCTTTACAAATCTTTATAGGAGCAGGCAGCCTCATCTTTCTCCCTCAGGGTGATTTGTGGATTTGAACCACAGTTAGTAGTCCAAAACTTAGTGGGCAGCTCCACCAGGGCTCCTCTTGTTAGAGGAGGCACTGGTTATTCTAGTTCCTTTGCTGAGCCAACCAAATGAAAGGCAGGTGTGACTGAAATTATGTTTGGAAATATGATCTGACACAAAAAGTACTGTTTTCAAATACTCCTTAGTTGACATAAAAGCTTTTTTCCCCTTTAAAGCAAAGGCGTTATTGAGAGAGCCACGTTGCCATACTCACGTTTTGGCCAGCTCCACTGAGATCTGCTCCAAGGAGCATCCTTTTGTCTTAGGTATAAACACAACGACAAAAGCCAGAGAGGCGAGACTCAGGATGGCATAGATAAAGCACACCCACGGGAGGCCAACCAGGTCTATAAAAGACAAAAAAAAAAGGTTAGGAATGTATTTTGTCTTACTTTGATCTCATCTGTGGACGTTGACTGTTTCAGAACACAGAAAAGTCTGTCAATTTGCAAACATGCCGATCATATCCAGGGAAATAGGAATCACAGATGAAAAAAGGAGTCAGAGTGAAAGTTTCGTTTGTACAAACTGTCCTCATTTCTCTGGTAAAGGAAATAGATGTCAGTTGATAATTCTCTAAATTGAAACCATTCCCAACTTCTTGGTTGGCATGGTTTTCTTTTATCAAAATAATCATAATATATTATTCTCAGTACATACGTGTGCCT